TTTGAACTGCAAATGGGCATAACTCGGTGGCAGCTAATTCCATAATTATAAATGGTGTGTAGTGTTGTATGCTAGAGAAAAACATGTAAGGGTTTTATGAATCAAAGGGTTAGGAATTCCTGGTTCCCAAATACAACTTGTTAATCGTTTTTATATAATAATAGTAATACAATAATAATAATTGAAACAATATAAACAGCTGATAAAACCACGATAATAATAATACCACACTATCAAGATATAACTGACAACTTGGTCTACAAGATACTAAAATTAATTTGGAAATCAAACAGTGGTAGTTATCGTTGGAACGTTTTCAAAATTATGTTCAATACACTGGAATTTTATAAGATTGTATTGGAAACGTATTTAAATGACGGGTTTGAGTTTTTCTAACGACGCGACGCCTTACTTTGCCGTGTAAAAATTTTAACCGATTTAAAAGTTATGCCCAAAGTTTTTTGTATTAATTTAGCCATAAGAGCATTCAAGTAAAAAGAAATATTTATGACAAGCTTAGCTAGCGATTTGATCTGATGAAATTCTTTTCCTCTCTTCCCTTTTAATCTGCTTTAAATCCTTTGTGTACGAGAATGGTGATTATGTGAGACTTCAATCACGAATATAAATATTGTTTGGACATTGTCATTGGCTTAGCCAGGACTGGGTCTGTGAAATTTTTTTTACCTGAGACGAGGAGTTTTCACTCTATCTATGCAGTTCTGGATTTTATAAATACTATTATTTGTGATGATTGAAATTAAAATCCAACTTTTTGTGAAAATAACATTTCAGATATCTATTTTGCTTGTGTCATTTATACACTTCTTCACAGAAGAAAGCGAATGTCCGCATCTGCTCTAAGCTGGGAAGTGCAACTGTCAGAAAGAAACTGCATAGCGCAGGCTGTGCTGTGTACAGCGGGCAATAGCGGCCAGAAGTGGCCCACGGGGCACGGGTTGGCCACCGCCAGGGCCCTATAACTCCCATATAACGTGGTGGAGACCATTACGGTGGCGCGCTCTGCTGCATCACCTTCTTACAGGAACTAAAACACGAACTGCTACCAACGATACTTTAAACGTACGCGGTTACTGTGTGAGTTCGCGGGTCGCAAGCAGGCCCATAATGTTACAAAAGATAACGTCTATATTCGCGCATTATTCAGAGGTTTCTTATAAGTATAGATTATGAATAATAGTACATTTATAAGACACTTTTCGTATTTCTCACAAATTAGCCAATTTGTATGGCGAGCCTAACCTGCAGCTGCACCTGGCGACACTAGCGCTTCCTATAGTAGCAACCTCGAGCTTTGTCCCCAGTTTTGATAGAGAGTTGCCGGGCCCTGGCCACCGCGGCGGCGGAAGGAGTGCGTGCGGTAGCCCTCTTGCGCGAAGTTCCGCCGTCCCCCGGGGGAAGTGTCTGGCGCGGGCGGCGCGCATAGCGCGAGTCGACGCCTCGCCGGAAGGAAAACGGCGGTCGAGATGCCGAGCCGAAGACGGGGGCTAAACAGCGAGTTGGTGAAATGGGAACCCAATCCACGGTTACAGAGCAGTTGCTCATTAACGCAAGTGAATCTGCGCACGCGGCGTGCGAAACGATGCGAGTAGAGAGTGAAGGCAACAGAGGGCGGGAGGATTGTGGCAATGGGATTTAAGGGAGAAGAACATACAAAAGATCAAACGGAAATAGCGATGTATGTTGCAGGGGCGGGCAGAGGGTAGCGAAGTTACAAATTGTTGAAGTCGAATGGACTGACACTAAAAGTAAAGGAACAAAGTCAGAAGAGAGGCAATTGCGTGGCTGCTATTCGTTGTCCTTAATATCCCTACCTAATGTTACATTTCAGAGTTCAACATCGCATCTGATGAATGAACAAATGTGACTATCTGTTTTCACTTGAAGCGCATTCTTCAAAGTAAAAATTTCTTTCAAAGCAAACTGAATATATGGAAAATACTTATTCTTGCACTTAAAGTTAATAATAATTATTGTGATAAAATAATGATAATGAGAAATAATGAATGAGAATGATAATAGTAATAATAATATTTATAACTTATATTTGACTATTCAAAGAATTGACTGTTCTAGCCTGGAATTTAAAACTGAAAACGAATTACTTCCCAATTGTTAAACGTACAACTTACAAGGTGGCAAAATGTAAAGTGTAATCATCGTAGAGGCACTTAACTCCTAAACGCTTTTTGAAGAAATCACTGTCTTGGTACTTTAAATGTTTGAGGAAGTGGACCCATGCTAAGAGATGGGATTCCATTCTCG